TGCACAAACACACTACATAAACACACACCGAATTATATACACACACTACACAAACACACTGCATTATATACACACACTACACAAACACACTGCATTATATACACACACTACACAAACACACACTGCATTATATACACACACTACATTATATACACAGTGTGTTTGTGTAGTGTATGTGTATATAATGCAGTGTGTGAGGGGGCATTTTTTATTAAATTATTAAAAAAAAATTATATTTACTTTATTATTTATTTTTGTTGTCCCCCCTCCCTGCTTGTTACCTGGCCAGGGAGGGGGGATATGACAGTCCCTGGTGGTCCAGTGGTATTGGCTGAGCTTTGGGGGGGCGGAGAGCAAGCGCTTACTCACCTCCAGCAGCTCCTCCAGCTCCCCAGTGTAACTCTCGCGGCCAGCGTGTCGCGCGGAGCGTTGCCATGGTGATCCATGGCAACGCTCTGACGGCCGCGGGTCTCGCGAGAGTTACACTGGGGAGCTGGAGGAGCTGCTGGGAGGTGAGTAAGCGCTTGCTCTCCGCGCCCCCCCAGGACCGCCGGGCTTGTAATGAGCCTGGCAGTCCTAGGAGGTATTATCGGCAATATCGGTATCTGAATTGGCCGATACCGATATTGCCGAGAATACCGAATATCGGCCGATTATATCGGTAAAACCGATAATCGGTCGATCCCTAGTTGGAAGCAGGAAAAATTAGCAAATGAAAAGATCTAAATGACTTTAACAAGGGCCAAATAGTGATGGCTAGATGACTGGCTCAGAGCATCTCCATAATGACAAGTCTTGTTGGATCTAGAATGCAGTGGTTAGTACCTATCAAGAGTGGTGCAAGGAAAGACAACTGGTGAACCGCATCAGTGTCAACAGCACACAAGGCTCATTGATGCACGTGGGGAGTGAAGGCTAACCCATCTGGTCTGATTACACAGAAGAACTACTGTAGCTCAAATTGCTCAAAAACTCAATGCTGGCCATAATAGAAAGGTGTAAGAACACACAGTGCATTGCAATTTGCTGTGTATGGGGTGCGAGTGCCATAACTGGACCATGGAGCAATGGAAGAAGGATGAATCACATTTTTATTTAGATCATGTGGATGGCCTGGTGCGTGTGCATTGTTTATGTAGGGAAGAGATGACAGTAGGAAGGGAAGAAAACAGGCCGTTGAAAGTTTTTAAGAACATGACAAAGAGTTAAAGGTGGTTACCTACAAATTCCCACAGCTCTCAATCCGATTGAGCATCTGTGGGCTGTGTTAGAGCAACAACTCCGAACCATGGAGACCCCACCTTGAAACTTGCAGGACTTAAAGGACCACTATAGTGCAAGGAAAACATACTACTTTTCCTGGCTCTATAGGGTCCTTGGGTCCCCCTCACCCTCAGGACCCCCTCCCGCCGGGCTCTAGGGTGCCTTACCTTTGTTCCAGCGCCGGGCTCCCTCTGTGCAGGGGACTCTCCTCCTCCTTTCCCGTCATTGGCTGAATGCGCATGCGCGGCAAGAGCCGCGCGCGCATTCAGTCAGTCCATAGGAAAGCATTCTCAATGCTTTCCTATGGACGCTGGCATCTTCTTACTGTGAAAATCACAGTGAGAAGTGCCTCTAACGGCTGTCAATGAGACCGCCACTAGAGGCTGGATTAACCCATATGTAAACATAGCAGTTTCTCTGAAACTGCTATGTTTACAGCAGAAAGGGTTAATCCTAGATGGACCTGGCACCCAGAGCACTTCATTAAGCTGAAGTGGTCTGGGTGCCTATAGTGGTCTTTTAAAGGATTTGCTGCTAATGTCTTGGTGCCATATAGCGCAGGACACATTCACAGGTGCCCACAGGACACGTTTCATGCTTTGACACAGCACGATGGGGACCTACACAATATTAGGCAGGTGGTTTTAATGTTGTGGATGTACAGTGTATAGATTTTTTTTGTTGTATCTATATTATGTTGGATTGTTTTTTGCTGTTTGCGTACATTGAAGTGTATTTTTTTTGCTGTTTGTAGGTGTTCCTGTATGGCGATTAAGTCGGTCTGGCATTGTCAGAACCATACACTGATGTGACATCTACGGTAATTACTTTAAAATGGTATTTTATATAGTTGATTATTAGTGTTTTTATATGGCATACAATGAATTTGGATTACTTAGCGAAATTTGTCTCAAAGTAGTTTTTAATGAAGAGATACGTGGATAGTTCATTAAAAATATTGACAAAAAAACAGTAATTAAAAAAAATATTCAAAGTGACCTTATCAACTGTCCCTTTGTACACTACCTAATGGTCAGTCACCAGTTAAAGGCAGACCCTGTCCACACACGGATGAGACACTTCAATCAGGAGAATCACAATCTGGTTATTCTTTTTGTTTTACATTGTACTGTACATTGACTGCTTATTTCAATGTTTATAAGTAGGCATGGCCGCAGTGTGTGAGTTGTTCATTTAAAGAGGATGTTAAGGATCAAGTCTGGCTAAAGTTCAATGTGTACTTCCAGACAGTATGATGACATAAAAGAAACTTTTCGGAAGTGGATTTAAATAGTGCTGTTAACAGGAACACCAGTGAGCAATTGTTGAGTTTGCTCAATTTAAAGGGAAAGTTGTTCAAAAATGATTTTAAATAATTATTTTTAAATTAAATCTGTGGCGTATATAGGATATTGAATCAATAAAATAAATCTATGGTAAATTGGTGAACTGCTATTTTCATGTAGCTGAGCTATATGTAGTAAATATTTCTGCTAGTTAATTTTCCAGTATGAATTTTTATATATTATTTATTTTATACATTATAATTTTCTGTATTTTGCAAATCTTTCAATTAACAACAATTATTAACTCCAAGTTTACTAGATTCACAAAACTGAGCTGTAAATACTACCTGTAAAATTGCATTCGCCGTCTGGGTTATTCATGGGGAACTGATTATCGCAGGGATAGGCAACCTTCAGCACTCCTGATTTTGTGGACTACATCGCTCATAATGCTCTTATAGCCCTCATGCCTGCAAAATGTCAGGGGAGATGTACCCCTTGACTATGATATTAAATTTTTCAATGAAAATAATTCTTCAATTCCTCCTTAGCTATATTGGCCTAAAATAAGCAAGAACGTTCTGAATTCTAATTTTAGTGCATAGCTGTGAAAAAAAGAGAAATATAATGAGTTTCCTGCCTAATTCTTAAGACTGGTAGTAATCCCCGTAATGGACCCCGTTCCCCTTATAAGAAAAGGTCTACTGATCAACTGATTTGCTCAACATGAATGGCTTACAGCAAATCTTCATAAACTCCAGCCTATAGTTATACCAGTTTGAATGCATTATTATTATTATTATTTTTAAAGCGCCAACAAGTTCCATAGCGCTGTACAATGGGTGGACTAACAGACATGTATTTGTAACCAGATAAGTTGGACCCACAGGGACAGAGATAGGTAGATACTAGATAGCGCATTATTCAAAGAAAAATACATTAAAAAGTAAAAATGAAACATTTAAATCCTGTGAAGTTTTGGCATCGGAGCATAATAATTATCAAAGCTAGATCCTTTAAGGGAGAACCAAAAAATTTAAGTCTTAATTTGTAAGTATGTAGAAAAGGATATATAGAGAATGTATTGTAAATCTAATGCTGAAAACAAACACCTCATGCTTTTCTTGCTACTTATTGTTCTTTAGTCTCTTGTTGACCTGCATCATTTCAGTTAATATATACTACCTACTTTATATATACTCATGACTGATCCTCTCCAGTTAAAAATTAATTTGAGATTTGTTGCAAATTCCCAAAGACAAGCTGGACACACACTAGTTAATTCAGGCAATCTTCACTTTTTTATTTTTAATGTTCAGCGGGGAAGCAGAGATTTATTGGATACGTAACTAAAATATAAATGAAACTACCGCTATAGCTGATTGCAGTGGGGCTGCTGTCAGCATTCCAATAGCTCCATTTGTGCCTTTGGCCTGATCACATATAAACATAGCTAAGGCTTCCTCAAATAAACCTGAGAAGTAACCTGTTTTAGGAGGTTGGTACTTATATAGTAAGTACTGTAATGACATGAAATGCATTAGGCTCTAGAGTTAGGTTTATTTGGGGGCTGATTGATGCTTCAGTTTTGGATTTTGAATTGTCCTTACCAAAACACAGACTGCTGGTTCCAGGTAGGATCTGTGGATCTTAATGTGTCATACATACTGGATGCTCAAGTGCCTGCACAGATGTTGTTGTTATATTATATTTCTAATTTATGTGTCATATAACTAATTGAGAGATACTCCATCTTTTTCAAATATACCATCTTCCTCAATTTGTTGAGTCAAATTAGAAGTAATCAGCATTCTGTACTTTGAAAAAGGTTTAATCCCTGCTGTGCTGTTCAACATTTTTGTATGATAGACCTATATAACACGATTAATCATAAAAGTTAATTTCTTATATAGATTTCAGCATTATTTTCAACATATCAGCAATTTTTGGTTATTCCAATGGTGAAATATTGACTTTGGTTCAAAATCGATGACTGCATTGGTTGCTAGCCAAGAGACATGTCTTGAATACAAATCACCATTCCTGATCATCTGTGGTCAGTAAGAATTAGCTCTTACTCCAGAGATTCACAAATCAATATGTGCATTCAATTGCATTGAGCATTCATAAACACTTCAACCACCTCTTTTTGAGAGTGTCATCACCTAAATAATTCATGGCATGTCACATTCTAGCTTCAGCAGATCCAACTGAATGCTGTGTCAACCCTTTGGAACACTTATGAAATATGATACTTCCACCAATAGCTGAATAAACACAGATTAACTTTTTTTTCCACTATATCTGTTATTTTACTTGGATGTAAACAAGGTGGTAGAAACTTTAACATATTTATCTTTCATTACCGAACAAGAAAATCAAAAAGAATAATTGTTCCGTGTATGTAAATGCAAAACAAACATGTACTAGATCCTTTATACCTTAACATGACTGTTGAGTGTTTCTCAAAGATGCAAGTCTGCTAGTCCCGTGGGATCAAGTATTTAGCATACATCTGTAAAGATAATGAATGCTATTCACTGTGCTACCGCTAAAAGATCTCTTTTGACATTAAAAATGTTTCTAAGACTGATGGAAATTTATAAAATTTATTACGTGGTACTGAAATGTATTCTTTACTATTTGTGACAAATCACTTTTAAATAAATTGTTTTTTTAAAAAAATTTAAATATTTTCATACTTTTTTTTTCTCAATTAACATAACTACCATGTTTTTAAATTTTATTTAGTACATTATTTCCTGTGTAGGGAACTAAGTAACTACCAATATGATCATCACAAAATCAATATTGAGTTCACACCTTTTTGTATTTTTTTTCTCTCTTGTACGGACCTATATTTTCCACATACAGAAAAAGAGGTATAAATATTATACCAAACAAGTGGAGCGCTATAAGTAATAGAGGGATACACTCACCCCTTTAATACAATGACAATCCTGAATATTTATGCTTGGATGTACATATAAAAGGAAACAGAAAGAAAACAAAAATATAAAGTGCAGATGGTTCCAGAAAGTAGACAAGTGATGGTAATAAATGGCTGAAACCACTGACATGGACGGGAGCCTATGTAATATTGGCTCCGTAAACAGTTCCTTTGTGCTCTTTGGGCAGCAAACACACCCATTTGTCCCAAGTAGTTCTCTTCCAGGGATATATAACGAAAAAAGAAAACAGAACCGGCTGTTTTCTTTTTTCGTTATATATTCAGTGCCGGTCAGAGGGGCAAAGGACAGGTCTGGTCGAGTTTCCTGTTATAGGGGAGACTGCGGCAGGTGATAAGGTTGCCAGCGAGGCGGTTACACCGTCGGTGACTTTACCGGCGCCAGAATTGGGGAGTGAGCGGGCAGAGCTGATTGGGGGCATCCTGGAGTCAACACGCCAAAATGTGCATGTCTCCTTTGCGGGACCGTTGGGCTTTCACCTTAAGCAAGCCTGAAGTGAAGGAGAGGATTTGGAAAGGGGAGTTTGTGGAGATCTTTTCACTCCACCCGTTGATCTCAAGGAGGAGGACAAGAAGGATTACAAAAAGAGGATCCCTAAGTCATTCGGAAATTGGCTTTGGGCCTTCTGTATACTGGCCAGTGTGATGGGGGAGAAATCCCCGGATTGCTGCTCCAATTACTCTGCTAACTGGACGGTATCTGGGAGGCTTAAAGGACGTACGGCGGTTTGGCATGGTGGCCTTAGTATGAGCAATTTCGTCAGCGTCTTGCGGTTAACCCGGGAATGAGATGGGATCAAATGGACCTCCCTCTTTGGATGAAGCTGATGATGGTGCAGAAGGCGTCCCCGTTTCAGGCCGGGGGCCAGCGTGTGACCTGTCTCAGCCTCGTCGGCCGTCCAGAGAAAAGGTTTCTGCTGGCTCTTTAATGAGGACCAGTGTAAGTGGGGAACTTCCTGCCGGTTCAGGCATGGGATGTGGGGGGCATTTAGCTATAGCAGATGTTTTAACTGGGCTAAGCCTTCTTCAGCCAGAGGGCTGATGCAATTGCATCCTTTATCGTGTCCGAAAGGATTGACGGTGAATGATCATATCGATAAGGATTTTTGCTCGGTTTCTTATACATCATTCGACAATGCAGTTGAGTTGGTTCGGAGGGTTGAACGAGGGGCATTGTTGGCTAAGGCGGACGGAAAAGCTGCGTTTTGCTTATTACCAATTCACCCCGATTGTCATAATTTACTGGGCTGTTTTTTTGAAGGGCAGTATTTTGTGGATTTGTCTATGGGTTGTTCCATCTTGTGCGCCTACTTTGAAAAATTCAGTTCCTTTCTGGAGTGGGTGGTCCGGGTGGAGGCGGGCACACAATTCATAGTCCATTATCTCAATGATTTTCCTTGTGTCAAGCCTGCAGGGTCGAATGTTTGCCGGGTAGGATTGCGAACACTGAAATGGGTCTCGCAAGTTTTCGGCATGCCATTGGCGGGGGATAAGACTGTGGGTCCCACAACCTGTTTATCATTTTTGGGCTTGGAAATTGATTCAGTGCAAGGGGTGTGTCGCATGCTGGAGGACAAGCTGATTGCTCTTCATCAGGCAGTAACTGAGGTCCGCGGGTCTAGGAAGGTTTAAGTTGCAGACTGTAACGAGAATATACCCCTACACGCAGGATCCAGCTAAACAGAAGCCAATACAGAGGAGAGATACGTCTACCGGACCTTAGAATGGCCGGACTCGACGTATATGAGAGGAGACAGAGCCAGGAACAAACCGAGGTCAAGGGCACAGAGAGACAGCGTAAACTAGGACAAGCCGGGTCTGGTACACGGAAAACAGCAAGCCGGCAAACAGTACAGATAAGGATAAAGCGAAAACGAAGTCAGAATACGAAGCCAAAGTCAATACGAGAAAACACAACTGAACACCACAAGCGCTAAAGGGAACTGAAACAGAAACCACGATAGGGCAACGAGCTAAGGGAAAAAGGTAAGTTTAAATAGCTTTTAAACGAAAGTGATTGGCTCCTGTCACTTCCACACCCCCAAAAGGTAATTGTATAGGGAGTGTGGTATGACAGGAGCCAATGGGAGCCTTTTGGCAATTAGGCTCCCACTGTCTCTTTAAGAGCGCGCCCGAGACTCGCGGCGCGCTCTTAGTTTCAGGCGGGACACGTGACCGCTTCACGCGGTCACTGCCCGCCTTCCATCTAAAGCAGTCGGATGAGCCGCGCGCGGCTCGTGCAGCCGCAGGACCGCGCGCGGCTTGAAGAGAGGACCGCGACCGGCCCCCGGTTAAGGTAAGTAACGCTACACAGACGCTGCAGTCCTTGATTGGCGTTTGAATTTTGCTTGCCGTGTGATTCCGGTGGGTCGGGTGTTTAATAGGTTGCTGGCTAGGGCTACGAGTGGTGTTTAGTTCCCTCACCATTTTGTGCGGGTCTCGGCTTCCATGAAGGCCGATTTGGAGGTGTAGTCGGTTTTTCTGCAGGATTTCAACGGTTGGGTGTTTTTTCGTCGGACTTGGAATTGTGTACGGATGTGTCTGCCTGTCTGGGAGTGTGGGTTTTGGGGCTTACTTTGCTGGACATTGGTGTGTAGAACCTTGGCCAGAGGCGTGGAAGGCCAGCCCGCTTATTCGCAACTTGGCATTTCTGGAATTTTTTCCATTGGTGGTGGCTTTGGCTTTGTGGGGGCAGCAGTTGCAGAACAGGAAAGTGATATTTTTCTCTGATATCATGTCTGTAGTGGACACTGTTAATGGTTTATCTGCTTCCTCCATCTAAGTTGTTCGGCTCCTTGGCCCTTTTGTCTTGTATTGCATAAAATTTAATGTGGTTTTTCTGGCGCGACATGTGCCCAGGTTCTTGACTGTTGTTGCTGGCTCGCTCTTTCATTTTCAGTTGGCGAGGCTTTGTTTGGCGGGTCCGGGCACACAGGAGGAGGGGGTCCCCTGTCCGGCGGAGGTGTGGCAGCTCGGGACATCTTGCTTGATAGACTTATAGGAGGGTCACTGGCGCCGTCCACATGGGCGGCCTCCATCAAGGTTTGGCAGGATTGGGACATGGCGGTGTCTTGTGCAGGGGGTTCACGGCTCTGCTGATGCTAGATTTGAGATGCTTTTATGGTTCTTGTGTAGGCTGTTTGCTTCGGGTGTCTCCTTCAGTTATGGGGCGGAACATGACAGCGCTAGCAAACACTTAAGGGGGCAGACATTGCAGGATGTGTGGCGGCCAGTATCTGGGGGACATGTCCTGTCGGCCGCTGGGGAGGTCTTTTGGCGGCCGCTGGCGGACTTGTCCTGGTGGCCGCTGGGGGAGCTGCGCTGGCTCTGCCCTCCCGCCCTCGCGCACTGCTGAATGAGACCGGCGCCGGAATATGACGTCATATTCCGGCGCCGGTCTCATTCAGCTGCGTGCTGGGAAGTAGAGCCAGCGCAGCTCGCGCAGCTCCCCCAGCGGCCGCCAGGACAAGTCCGCCAGCGGCCGCCAAAAGACCTCCCCAGCGGCAGCGGCCGACAGCAGACCCAGGTGTCTGCCCGGCCCCAGGTGCCGACGGCCCACCGGGAAATTTCCCGGTATCCCGGTGGGCCAGTCCGGCCCTGGTCGTTAGGCATCAGGATTTGGAAGCTAAACTTCCTGGATATTACCGGCCTGATGGTGTTCACCTTTCTGATGTGGGTCTGGACTTTATGTTGCTAAGTTTTCAGGATGGTTTACAGAAGGCTGTGTTTATTTGGGGAGGTGCTCAGGTAGCTTAAGGAGTCTAGCGTTGAGCTGTGGCGGGGATGGTTAGAAAAGTTGGGGGGTAGGTAATTTGTTGATAGTTTTAGTTCGCTAAGAACAGTTAGGTTTGGAATGGTATTGGTAGATTCAAACTCGTTGGTAGCTCCGAACCTGGTATGTGTAGGGTGTATCTTAGTATGTCCCTACATTGTGAAAGCTGGAAAATCATGTTTATTTATATGTTATAGGTGGTATCAATGATTGTTTATGTGGGGTATTGTAGGGGTAGCTATGTTAAAGGAATGGAGGTTAATATTTTATTATGTATTGTGTTGACAATGACCTTATAATTTATATGTTTATCTTTATATCATTAAAGCTGTGATAATAATTTTCCCAATTCAAGGTGTATTTTTGTGGGTATGGGGTAGATTAAGCAAAGTTTGCCAAAAAGGGGACTATGCATATGTCATCCTAAATTACACAGAAGTCCATGGCAAAGAAGTGATCAATTAAAGAGGTCTTCATTTTAATCTTACAGTCTGAAACTGGTAGCACCCATATATTTTAGTTTTTGCTGTTTTTTTGCTTTTCTTTGTGTATACATTTTGACAGTAGTGGTTATTTTTATTTGATCATTTTTGATTAATTTATAAAATCAACACTCTCTTTGTTATTTAGAGACAGAGATAGTCATGATTTGCTAGCATAACAGCTAGCCCAACTCACATAAAAGTTCACACAGATCTAGTGGACAGGGAGGACAATTTAGTTTTGCATTAAAGGAACACTATAGGCACTTTAACAGCTTCATCTTATTGAAGTTGTTATAGTGCCTTCAGTGCTGTCCGCCCTATCCTACCTCCCAATACCCTATATTAAACTAAAAGCCTTAAAGCCATGCATCTAAGCTTTCTGGGTATGAGAGCCGGGAATGTTTGTAACATATTATGACGTCACGTTTGCATGTGCAGCGCTGTCAGGGTCAGACATTAGGGATGTGCATGGGCAAAACATGCTGTTCGGTTTGGAAATTTGGGTAAGTAACTTGTGCATCCGAATGTCCGAATTGCACGAAATTCATCCGAATATACATTCGGAATGAAACAAATTGCACATATCTATCAGACATAGAGAAGCATTTAATACAAATGTTGTTCTATGGAGGAACTGTTGGATTGGCCTGTCATCCTGGAGGTTTGGCCACACTAAGAAAGATGTAATTTTATTGAAGTTGTTATAACCCTATATTACATTAAATATAAGGCTTGAGGGTGTAGCTTTAAGCAATGCCTTCAAGTCCTCTGTGTATGAGAGCCAGGAATGTTAGTTCTGACTCTCTTACCTTAACATGACATGACGTCTTTTATGCATGCATAGTGCATTGACTGTCAACCACACAGAATCATTGAATACAATGATTCTGTACTGAGGGTTTGTAGATGCATATGGCGCATTGGATTAGCCTTTCATTCTTGTAGTACATCTCCAGGATGACGTGACTCGAGGAAGCAGAGGCGTAACTACAAACCACAGGGACCCCGTTGCGAAAATTGCCCTGGGGCCCCCCCATACGTCTCCCCCACCCCCACACACACATGCAGACATACAGATACACAGGCAGACACACACATAGACACATACAACACACACATACAGGCACACATACATGTAGACACACACATACATACACACATACACACAGAGACCCATACATACAAACACACAGACATGTAGATACACACACATGCATTTAAAGACACATACACACACACACACTCACAGACACACACACTCATAGACACACACATCCATAGACACACTCACAGACACATACACTCATAGACACACATACACTCACAGACACACACAGACATGTACACTCACAGACACACATACACTTTCAGACACACACACATTCAGACATAGACACATACACTCAAAGACACATACACTCACAGACACATACACTCACAGACACACACACTCAGACACACACACACATACTCACAGACACACACACACACAGACACATACACTCACACTCACACATACACTCACAGACACACACAGACACGTACACTCACTGACACACACACACTTTCAGACACACACACATTCAGACACAGACACATACACTCAAAGACACATACACTCACAGACACATACACTCACAGATACACACACACTCAGACACACACACATACACTCTCAGACACACTCTCAGACGCACACACACACAAATTATTCATATTTTTTAAATTTAAAAATGTCCACCTAACCTCCCAACCTGGAGAGCTGGCATGGATCTATCCCTGGGGTCCAGTGGGGCTTCAAATAGCCACTCGAGTAGTGGTCTGTGTGGTAATTGGATAAGTCCCGTGTAGACATCAGGGGTACCCTCAATGGATCCAAGACCCAGCATATATATATATATATATATATATATATATATATATATATATATATTTCTAACACTACAGTGTTTATTTATGGTGTATATATGTATTCCTAACACTACAGTGTTTCTTTAAGGTGTGCAGAGTCATACTTGGCTTACTCCTTCAGCACATATTTACAATGTGAAATAAATGTGTGACCATACACTGCAGGATTAGCTCACTGTCTGAAAATATCAGCTGAATAGAATGACTCCTAACATTGGGGAAGTGCCAGGGCACATCTGGCAACCATTATCACTACAATGAACTGCAGTGGTTATGGTGCTGGAAGTATTCCTTTAAATGCTGAAAGATGGCAAATAATTCTCTTAGAGTCCCAATGTATTCATGGAAAGTTATAAGGAATTATTAAAAATGATTTGTTGAGAAACACATATACAGTAAATGTGATGTATTGAAAAGCAGATGTCAATAAAATGTGCACTTTAGGCATCGTACCCTCCAGTGGTCTGAATAGTATCTTACCATATCCACAGAAACTCAAGAAATCTGTTCACCAGAAAAATGAGGAAAGCAGAAGAGACTCTGTATGAATCTATACAATATTAGTAAAATATAGCTCACAAATAAAATTCACACAATAAATAAAACGACATGCAAAGGTTTAAATATTGCCTTATGCAGTAAACCCCTGTCTTGAGCCCAATAAGCTTTTTATTTTTATTAAAACTAATTTTCACGGAAAACTACATGTTTAATAAATCAGATCAGTCACTCTGGAGATACCTATATTATTCTTAGGTATTGAATTACTGCTGCACTGTTATATCCTGAATAGAATATTACTGAACAGTTCATTATTAAACAGTTTATTTTTAATTTTTTTTTAATTTATTTATTGTTTTTTTTTTTTTAAATTTACTACACAAAAAAAAAAGAATTTCATTTACATACAAAGACACAAAGGAGTATACATAGATTGTTCCGAGGCTTGTACAACATCAATAATATTGCACAATGTTATAGCTCTCCAAGAATTATACTCCAAACATACAAAGATCAGTAGAGGTGAAGGTGCCGGGAGCCGAATGTCCCTCACTTCCAACTCTACTCATATACAAATATACAAACACTGAAGTTGACATTTCTTTCTTTCTTACTCAAATTATATTTTATGCAGGTCTTAATTCGTAGTAGATTCCGCCCCTGAATTTCATATCTAATGTTTATCAAAGTACTCTTGCCAGTGTCGGCCTTTCAAGGACCTTTAACCAATTGTCCCAGATCTCATATTGGCGTGTATTAATGCTTAGATTGGAGGCTATACCCCTTTCCATTTTACATTGAGTTATAATAATTTCCTTAATATGCTGCCATGAGTCAATTGATGTCTTTTTCCAGTTTTTTGCAATGGACATCTTGAAAGCCATCAGAGCATGGATCGGCAAACAATTCTTTTCTTTAGTTAATTGCGGTAAATTTAAATGTAAAAGCAGAATATCTGGAGTCCAGATGCGCATCATACCCATTATTAAATAATTTAAAATGACACTATGGCTTATTATTATTATTTATAAATCACCAGCAAATTGTGCAGTGCTGTTCAATAGGTGACCTAAAAGACAAGTATTTGCAATATAACGATTTGGACATACTGGAACAGAGTTCATTTCTGAATGGAATTTTTTTTGGTTGTTCTGGGTTGTTTGTGTTCGGTTTGGCTGGAAATTTTAGGAAAACTGGAAAATGACTGGCCTTAACAGCTTCATGAAAAGTTAGTTAATCATGTGGCACGTGCATGATAGCCAGCCACTACATTAAAATAAATATATAATAAATAAAAAAAGCCTGTGTGGGTCAATGCAAAAGAGGTTTAAAACCACCAGTGGGCATCTGGTGGGGGCTTCAATTTAAAGAATGGGGTAGAAATATTACTGTCCTCACAGTGGGACTATTAATTGAATAAACAAAGCATTGGGACATAGTGTTCTCCCAATGCCCCCAAAGTGGGACTCTAATTAAATCATAAAGCTGGGGGAGCATAATTTCCCCTGATAACCTCACCCATGGCCAGTGGAATGGGGGCTCTAACATCGATAAGCAGAGGAGACCAAATGGGGTTCTAATAAAGATAAAGGGTGGAATTCGAGTGCCCCTCTAGCCCCCTGGAAGCAAGAGTTCCAATTAAATATACTTGGGAGCAGAAACATGCAATTGTCTATCACTCAAAAATTATGGCCTCTCCTAAAAAAATAATTGTGAGGGGGCAATAAAACTAATACCTCTTAAAAAGAAAGTAATATTTACCATTATACATATTCTTTTTTTCTTAAATCTTCTTTTTTTCAACCCCACAAAAGTCAAATTAGAAATCCATTATAATCCATGATTATTAAAAATGAAAAAGACATGGTTTGCAAAAAAAATAAAATAAAGCGGCACAAAAATAAAAATCACAATGCGTTAAACATGGACAAAGAAAGATTTAGATGATTTAGATGTTAATTTTACATTACTTGCAACTGAGCCACAATAGCTGCCCAGTTGCTAGCCTTTTCTTACAGTTAGCAGCCACTGGCTGATTGCAGTTTAGCAGACATGCTCCCACTGATAGCATGGCGTGTGCAACCAGGTGGATAATAGTTACCCCCTTATCCTGAAGCAACCATTGGGTGTTCAGTTGCTTCAGGATTAGTTCACATTTCTTCTCTGAGTTTTTTTTTTTTTAGAAAAGTTCTCTCTGGGTGCCTTGTGGGGGAAGTTAAAGGCAGCTCAGGAGTCAAAGGCCTCAGTGAGATTTCAGCCATTGAAAAAAGGATGGGGCCTCAGACAAAGAGGTGAGTTTTAAAATAATGTCATCTCAGGCAACCGCTAGGGCCCTTGGCATCATGCATCTGTACTCCATGCGTGCCTATTGCAGTTGGCTGATTACCAGACCCAGCATCTTTCTCCATGGCAAAGTGCTCCAAGTTAAGTCCTGAAAAAAAGTTGGAAGGACTCAAATTCGAATGGCGTCTTACCCCACACGGTGACCAGAATGCAGTGCTGGTCTATCATAGAGTGGCACCAGATGATCACATCCCTCTGGGCTGCGTAGGGTGCCGGTCCAGATTTGTTGATTCGGGAAGTGACCATCGAACTCTATCTGTTTCACCTGGGTATGTGGCAGAAACTTAGAGCTTAGAGAGTCATCGTAATAAAGTAGACCGATTGTGTCGAGGATACCCCTGATTCAACATTTGCTCTCTGGCTACGGTCTTCCATGATGTCTAGTTTCGTTTAGAGCACAGATTGGGTAGGCTGCATGTTTCTCCCAGGGCCTTCACCTATGGTTGTATGTCCAGTATGTCCTCTTCTGATGCCTGGACTCGTGCTGTTACTGCCTGTAGCTCTGTCAGGACCGGTTTAGGTAAGCATTGAATATCTGTTTCATTTCTTGTAGCAGGTTACCAATATTTTTCATCGCCCTTGTTGTTGAGTTTAGTTGCCAGGAGATTGCGAGATCATACATGTCAGCCTGTATCATAGGGGGTGATTGGGGTAGGTGGGGCTCCTCTGGTCTTGCTGGGTGCAAATCCATGCACATGGAGCTGGTGTCATGGTTAGGCTTAGCCGCCATTTTGTGGCACAGGACACTGTAGCATAGCAGGTATCTTTGTATCGCAGGTATCTTTTTGATTTTTGAGATCTTTGTGTGCAGCTGCCTCTTGATGGATAGCTGGGAGAGGCACGTTGAGATACCTCTAAGAGCAACTTCGAAGCCAGCTGGGCGGCCCCTATGCATGGAAGAGTGAGGTAGGCACAGGCCTTACAGCAGATATTCTTGCCCTTCTGGGTGAATCGAAAGGGCATCAGCAGGTAGCCACTGATGCCAGGATAATAAGTCAAGTGGTCTCTCGAGTTGTTGGTCCAGTGATGACAATGGATTAATTGCCAACCACTGAGAGCTCTGGAGAATGACGTCCATTCGACTCAGTAGTTAAGTTCTGCCCCATTATTGATATTATTATCAGTTAGGTATCCAACAAATGATGACATACAGTAGATACACTGATTAAAAGGAATTAAAAGCTAAATTTAGCAGGTAGAAGAAACCAAGACAATAAATAAGCTTGAAGAAAAGCGCAGGATAAAATCATAAAATGGATGGGAGCGCCACAACAGCAGTTGTAATACTAGATCTTACAGTACAGCTCATCAGTTTGGCACTTTAAGCATTTTTGAAGATGACCAGTTGACCTGCTATTTCAGGTGACCCAACCTTTCATTTTACTTCCTCGTATAAAAACTGAATTAAGGAACTTAAGGAACTAAGTGTAGAAATAAGTGAACCTCTGTTTTTAATCTTTCAAGATTCTTTTCTTTCAGGAAGTGTTCCGGAGGATTGGAGGAAGGCAGATGTGGTTCCTATTTTCAAAAAGGGTTCAAAATCCTTGCCTGGAAATTATAGACCTGTGAGCTTAACCTCTGTGGCTGGTAAAATATTTGAAAGGTTATTAAGGGATAATATTCAAGAATTCCTTGAGTAGAACATGGTTATCAGCAAAAATCAGCATGGTTTTATGAAGCACAGGTCATGTCAAACTAACTTAATTGCGTTCTATGAAGAAGTAAGTAGAAGTATAGATCAGGGTGTTACAGTGGATGTGATCTATTTGGATTTTGCCAAGGCATTTGATACACTTCCACACAAGAGATTAGTGTTCATACTTAAGGAAATCGGTCTAGATGAAAATTCTTGTTCTTGGGTAGAACATTGGCTTAAAAATAGAGTACAAAGAGTTGTCATTAATGGTACATTTTCAAACTGGACAGAGGTGGCAAGTGGTGTCCCTCAGGGTTCTGTTCTGGGACCCCTTCTATTTAACATGTTTATAAATGATCTTGAAAAAAGCATTGAAAGACATGTTTCAGTGTTTGCAGATGACACAAAACTCTGTAAAATAATACAATGTGAGCAAGATATTACTTTGCTGCAGAGGGATTTAGATAGACTGGGGGACTGGGTACTCAAATGGCAGATGAAATTTAATGTTGAAAAATGTAAAGTTATGCACTTCGGCGTAAAGAATACTCAAGCAACGTATACCCTTAATGGAAGCGAATTAGGGATAACAACACACGAAAAGGACTTGGGAATTGTTATAGACAACAAACTATGCAACAATGTGCAATGTCAATCAGCAATGGCTAAGGCCAGTAAGTTATTGTCATGCATGAAAAAGGGCATTCATTTTCGGGATGAGAATATAATTTTGCCTCTTTATAAATAACTGGTAAGACCACATATTGAATATGCGGTGCAATTTTGGGCACCTGTTCTAATGAAGGATATTATGGCACTAGAAAAAGTGCAGAGGCGGGCTACAAAATTAATAAAAGGAAAGGAACATATCAGCAATGAAGAAAGGTTAACAAATTTAAACCTAATTAGTTTAGAAAAACGTCGCCTGAGAGGGGATATGATAACATTATACAAATATATTCAGGGCCAATACAAACCATTGTGTGAAAATCTATTCACAAACTGGACTTTACATAGGACACAAGGTCATGCTTTTAGACTGGAAGAAAGAAGTTTTCATTTAAGACAAAGTAAAGGTTTTTTTACTGTAAGAACTGTGGAATTCTCTGCCTGAAGAAGTGGTTTTATCAGAGTCCATACAGATGTTCAAACAGCTGCTAGATAGATGCATACTTGCAAAAACAGAATATTCAAGGATATAATTTTTTAATGCAGGGTAATAACTGCTTGATCCAAGGATAAATCTGACTGCCATTCTGGGGTCAAGAAGGAATTTATTTTCCTAGTTGGAAGTGCTTCAAACTGTTTTTTTTTGCCTTCTTTTGGATCAACAGCAAAAAACAAATGTGAGGTAGGCTGAACTTTATGGACGCAAGTCTCTTTTCAGCTATGTAACTATAAATTCCAATGATATGGTGCATTAAATAGTCTTAAAATTAATATGACAAACTATGTGATAGTGGGATTGACTATCTTTTCTAAACTGTGTGGGCACCCATGGCAATCTTTCCCTTTTCACTGGCAAAATACAAGCTTGAAATACCTATAGCTCATAGTTTCCATCAATAATATGTTCCATTATATTTTCCCCCACAGTTGAAAACTATAAAAGTTGAACTAGAATGATGGTCACTCCCACGTTACTTGGATGGGCCAGACAAGCCTACTGAAAATAAATATTCTTCCCCGTCTACTATACCTTTTTCAAACTCTACATATTGGCATCTCTGTCTTATACTTCTCAGCACTGAAATCAGTATTCACAAAATACTCCTTGGGAAACAAACCCCCAAGGTTAAAATGTGACACTCTTACAATTCCAAGAGGGGCCAAGAGACTCGTAATGCCAGATCCGTATATTACTATAGAGAGTTTGACCTTCGGTGATTAATGGAGTGAGGCACTACCTCTACCCATACTTTCCATGCTTGGGGGCTAGAGGGGCACTAGAATAGCACCCTTTATCTTTATTAGAGCCACAAACTGTTACCCATGAGTGGAGGTTGGGGAAAAATATTTGGTCTTCCCTCCTTATCAATGTTAGAGCCCCCATCCCAGTTGCCATGGGTGAGGGTATCGAGAAATTATGGGTTGACCTGGAGCAACTTGAAGTGAAATGTTCACTATCCTCTCTCCCCTGGTTGCCTCCTTGGAATGCAAACACCCAACTATTGCAGCCACCGTGGAAGTATTGTCCAGGCTGCTTCATGATGAATTGTTTAGCTCCTTCCGACCCAGATGGCCCCACTATTTATTCTGCCAGTTTACTCTGTAAAACTTACACCTGACTAGCTTATTATTGACAGACTGCAGGTGACCCTTCGTATATACCACCTGTTGCCAAACCCATTCATACTTCAATTCCACTATCACTGCATACGTATAAATATAGCACTTATAAAGAGTTCAAACCTGACCTGCTCAATACTTTTGTATCACTATGTCACAAGACCATACCCATTCCACATGATCTGTATCAAATATATTCACTTCAATAGCAGAGCATCCAAAGCACAGGGTCAAATGGGAGGAATATCTTCAGCTCCAGTTTGTAGATAAACAGTGGCAAAAGATATGTTCATTCACACAATACATCTATACCCTCTCACATAAGTCCCCATGGCTCTTAGAACCTACACACTGGATTAAACCAGAGTATACTGAAGGTGGCAAAAACAGACAGGTACATATTTGGTGGAAATGCCCCCTGATATCATTATTTTGGACTTAAGTTCCACCCTTACGACCTTCTCCCAGGCTACTGAACAAGAGGTGGCTGTGCTTATCCTTTCTTCTCGTCCCACCACTTGCCCGCTTAAACCTGTCCCATCTCACCGTATTAGATCTCTCTCCTCAAAGTCACTAACGACATTATCACAGCTAAATCCAAAGGTCACTACTCCATACTAATTCTTCTTGACCTCTCCGCTGCTTTTGACACCGTTGATCATGTTCTCCTTCTCCAAACTCTTCAATCACTCGGTCTATGTGACTCTGTCCTCTTGTGGTTTTCTTCCCAACGCTCATTCAGTATCTCCTTTTCTAATGATACCTCCACCATTCGTCCTGTCTCAGTTGGAGTCCCCAAGGCTCTGTCCTTGGTCCCCTTCTATTTTCTCTTTACACTGCCTCTCTTGGCAAACGTATTACCTCTTTTGGATTCCAATACCACCTGTATGCTGATGACACCCAGATATATCGCTCCTCCCCAGACCTCTCCCCTGATGTCCTGCAACGTGTCACTTCTTGCCTTTCTTTTCTATCTCGGATTGGACGTCCTCCCGCTTTCTGAAACTGAATCTTTCCAAAACAGAACTTCTTGTCTTTCCTCCTCCTAATATTAATCCTCCTCTCTCACTCTCCCTTCAGATTGGTGGTACCCATATCAGCCCATCCTTACAAGCACATTGTCTTGGTGTTACTTTTGATTCTGGCCTCACCTTTGAGCCTCACATCTGGTCTGTTGTCAAATCATGCCAATTCCACCTCAAAAACCATCACCCGCATCCGCCCCTTTCTTACATAATATGCTACTAAAGATCTTGTCCATGCTCTAGTAATCTCTTGCATGGACTATTGTAACTCTCTCCTAATTGGTCTTCCCAATAGCCGTATTGCCCCACTACAGTCTGTAATGAATGCTGCCGCCAGACTGATTTTCCTCTCTAGTCGATCCTCTCACACCTCACCCCTCTGTCAGTCCTTACATTGGCTTCCTGTATACTATAGAAGTCAATTGAAAGTGCTAACTGTTGTGGACAAAAATATTAACCCAATTCATATTAATAAAATGCCTATTTACTCAGCATAACCACAATCAGCATTATTCAACCTTATGTGTGATTTACCTAAAATGGCAGCTAGGGAGTTTCCCTTTGACATCGACTAACACCCTTGTGACGAGAGCAATCTCGCCACATTGCATTGTAGAAGCCTGGCTGCCCGCCTGCTGCCTTTGGACTATGGACCAGACTTTATGTAAATGTGTTAACCCAGATAGCTATGCCATGGAGCCCATTCGTGTAGTTAAAGACTTCGGCTCCATGGCAATTGAACTGTGTGAATAGGATCTGAGCGCTATTCGGTAGTTTTGTGTGCTCAGATCCCAGCTATCTGGGGATATGTGAAATGTCTGTGTGTTATGTGTAAACGGTGACTTTATGTATTTGAAAGTGTTTTATGTCTTTTTGCAACCATGTGCTCAATGGAGTCTGCCTCTATCCCTAGATAATTGGATTATTTTCCCCATTG